ACACCCTCTATGTGGCACTCAACTTCTAACATAATTTAGTTCAGACTGAAATACTTAATTAATTCATGGTCATTAAGTAGTTAATACGCAATATGTTTTGATTGGTTTTGGTTAGTACTGGGCATGTGTAAACTATTAGCGAAACCAACTATAAATTTTGGTTCAATCATCAAAAACTGTTCCTGTTAACATGTCTTGATAGTGGTCTCTACCTTGAATTACTCATAAAACCTTGCGTTAAAAATTAATTATTTGTATGTATTGTAGTGTAGAGTGGATTACTGAAAGACCCAAACAAAATGGACTTTCGTGTTTAAAAATTCGAAGCAAAGAAATATGTATCTGGTCTGGATCGATGTCATCCGTTTTAAGCCTCTATGCAAACTTAAATTGGCCCGTTTATGATTACCATTACTGACAAGGCACCTAAAAGTTAAGTTATACCTAATTTATTACACCTTATAGCTTTTGTTTGTTTGTTGATTAAATAAAAAAAAAGTGTTTTGTACGGATTAGCAATATTTGTTATTTGTTTTAACCCATATAGCTTTCGCACATGCCTCTACATTTCACCCCTAGCCTGGGCTGTGCGCCATTTTCTTTTTGTTTCTCTTAATGGAATCAGGGCATATTTTCAAAAAATATTTTCGCATCCAAATTTTTTGACGATCTGTCAGCGGCCATGTTGATTGTTAAATTCGCAAGGTCATTGGTTAAAACCAAGATTATTATTTATCGGCATAGGCAGGACCTTTATATATCTGGTTTTAACCATATACTTATGGCACTAGTACACAAAATGAAACGCGATCTACACATATTTTGGAAAAATGCTACAACTGAAACTTGTCGCATTAAACTCTTGACGGACTTATTGACGTCTTATTGGTTGAAATACGATATTTCAAATGGCCACCCTTCTCAATTTTTTTTAATAGTTCCTTCAAAAATTCCTGTATTTTCAGCATAGTATCCATGTGGACTTAGCCATTACTGCGACTACTTTGTCACGTGATGTCAGCGGTTTTACGCTTAGCCATGTCGTTTCGAATGTTCCGCGGACTTTGATTCATAGAACAAACAATTTTCACCCAACAGGCGATTAGCCTAGCCGAAACTAATCTATCTAATTTAAGCCACAAGCATCATCACCGACGCGAAACCGTAATGAGCCCAGTTTGTCGCCAGCTTGTCTAATATTTACTTTATTAAACTATCACGTCACGAGACCTGCAAGTTTGCGTTCTCGATTGTTTTAAATTTCGAACCGGTTGTTCAGAAATCGCCTATTTTTAAAACAATAAAAAGTAGCTTTCGTAGAATCGGTGCCTTATCGTGCGGCCAGTTGGTTTTAATTGCTGCGCGTTTACGCAAATCGATTACCTTTTAATCATTTTTATTGTATACTTACTGATTTGATTTAATTTAATCGCTTTCCGACGCGACTCGAGGATCATTGTTCGGGCTAAAAATAGTTTCGGTGCTGTACCTGTACTTTTTTTTTTGTTTCTGCGGGGGTTACGTTACACTTCCTCCTGCGTCATAAAGCGATGGTCCCGCCTCTGTCTCTCGATTTAACACTTAAACAGAGAGGTCCCAAACCCGTTGAAGAACTGGGTCGCTAGTAACGTATCAGAGAGTATATCAAGTTTATATCGTGTTAAAATAAACACCATTAAAAAATATACCACCATAATTGAAATGAAATTAATCCAACACGCATTTGTTGAATGTATCTCGTATGCTGTCACATTTTTAAGCCGCCTTTAATTGAGTTTAATACATTTTTACAATCACAAATGACAATTTGGCAGTTTTATTTCTAATTTCAATAAAACTGATAGTAGTCACCGAATAGGTTTATTAACGTGTTGTATATTTTTTCTATGATCATTAGTTTTTTGGAAACATTTTTGCATTTGAGTGACGTCAGAAGTGACCTCAAAATGCCATCCGTGGCTTAAATCTAATGACTCAATCACCGGACGTCTTAAAGGGGCACTTTGCGCTCACTTGAACGGTGTATAATTGGATACTTTAGAGTAGACAGTAGAAAAATTAAATTTTTGATATTGGCCAACCAAAAAGAAAAAAAATCATGTCATTAACTCGTCACTGTTAAAGGTAAAATTAGCTAAAAAATAAATGTAATTTTCAGTTTTACCAGTGACGTGCAAATAAGTCTATTTTTGGAACCAACAGCGACAGAGGTATTAATTTTTGTGAAGCAAAGTTAGCATTAATTTTTCGTGTAGAATCACACTCTTGAATATTCGCGTATACTTGACAAACGTATTTTAGGAAATTTTGCACGAATTAATTACTCGTGGAAAATTACAATTTATTTGCTGCCTGTTTTTTGGTTCACGTTTTTTGATTATTAAAAAAAATGCAATGGTAAATGGCAAATATGAGTAGTAGTTGTGTAGTAAGTAGCTTATTGGCTATTTCTACGATAAAAGTAAATTATAGCAGGTCGAAAAAAAATACAACAAAAAACAATTTTAAGAAGCTTTAAGATTTTTGAAAATTTTTTAATTCTTAATTCTTTTATCTAGTTTGGGAGTTTGTTGGATACATCTACATTCAATTTGATATGTAAAGTCTATGCTGTGGTATAGTCAGTCGGTCGTATCTCATGTTATAATCATATTGTTTTTATGAATAGAATAAAATGTCTAGTGAATTTCTAGAGGCCGTCATCAGACCCACTGGTTGGCCCTAATTTAGTTCGTAAAATGGCCAAGGGGTGAATTTAAACCCAACTTCAAATGGAAAATATCACATTTTCGCTTGAATTCCAATATCTAAATAAACTTTACCCGATTTTAATGATGAAAGTCTAATTTAAAAATTGCTTTATTTTGCATTGTTTTGTTAATCTGTTACGCCTAATACTGAAACTATTTTTCCATAAAAAAAATGCAAGTATATATACAATAAACATAAATTCTTTTTTTCAACAAGTTTAAGAACTGCCCCTCCCAATTAAGAAATAGTACCACTAAATTTGTGGTTCTTATTTGTCAACTATAGTTCTGATGTATTTTATGAAAAATATATAACCTGTTTTTTTTTACTTTAGGAAAATAATTAGTCGTTGTCTAAAGTTTATTTCAATTAATAAACTTTCATCTTGAATATTTGTTTAATTTAGGCACTCTAATTTAAAAGATTTGGCGTAAAGAAAATTTGTCCCCCCCCCCCCCCTTCCCGAATTTTGATAGAAAAAAATAACAAATATAATCAAAGCTTAATATTTCACTAACGAAACACAGGTTATTTAAGTGGTCGCGAATTAGACGCCAAGGTCATTTGTCGAAGGTCGCCTTTGATTTTTGCGTTCGGACGGCATCTGCAATTTTTCTACGCTTCAAGATCGTAACGTTAATGCGGTCATATATATTTTTTTTAATTTGAAAATATACGAAACGCCAAATCGTCCCCGACATAATTCGGGGGGTCGGTGGATTTCCGCGTGTAAATGTGCGCGCCTGTTATTTTTTATAACCTTGCAAAATTATCACCGTGTATTCTCAGATTTGTTAGTCACGGTGCCAAAAATATCGCGTTATTTTGACACAATATGTTTCGCCCGCTCGTCGCTTATAATATTCGATTTTATCACCGGCCATTCGGCACTTCAACGTTTCGCGACTCGCGTCATAAGGGTACTCTCGCGGTAGGCCGCGGTAATTATACAGTGTGTCCACAATAAGAACGTGCAGCATTGGGGATCACGGAAACTGTAAGTGTTCTGGGCTTAGGTTGCGCATTTTCGTACCTGATTGTTTATAGGTATGTCGTTTAAATTAAGATATTCCGGGCAGATCCGGAGGTATCAGAAAGAAAAAACGAAATTTTGAAAAATCGTCTTGTTTCTAAAAATTCTAAAATAAATGATTACATTTACATGGCCACTTTTTTCCTTTCTATCTCATCTCCGATTAGATATCGAATTATTTTTTTGTTATGTTAAGAGTAGTGTACATTATAAGTTGGTCGACCATAAATTTACCTTACAAGTTAAACATTTGGATAATTACAATAATCCTGAAGTAATTTTCATGCTGAATATAGCGCCGATATCTGTGCGTGATAGGAGAACAGACCCAAAACCTTAACACATTAACCTGCACATAACTAGAGCAACTAGAACAGCTCGTAGGTTTTTACTATTGAATTTAACAGGTAAATTCTGGCATCGATAGTTTCATTTCTCGAACTGCTGTGTTTGTTCAGGTAAAAAATAATATTCTTCATATAATCTTGAATTTCTTTGTAACTAATAACTTAATTGTATTGGTAGTATCTTTATCTCTTTAACTTTAACTACACTCCTCATAAAACTCGATATCTCGTTGCGGATCATTCTTGTATTTCTAATTGCTATGATATTTTGTTACGCCACAATTTTCTTGTTTAATCTCACTGTACATTACAAATTTCAAAACATTAAGAAGCACTTATTGTGTTTATTTGATAGAGGCTATTTTAGTCACTAGTTTTGATTTGTTCCGAGAGCAACGCAGCAGAGCTTGTACTTAATAAACGAATGACGTAAGGTTATCAACATGTTGCATACTATATTTTTTCGACGGCCATTAGTTTTTGGATACGTTTTTGTAAAACGGTAAGAATACATTCACGGAGTGACGTGTCACGTGACCCTGAGAATTGACATAAGGCAAAATGCAATCCCTAGCTAAAATCTACCGAAAACATCCGATCACTCCCACACTTGTGACTAAAGTACCGAAATGCCTTTGGCGACAAAACTAACTTCTTCGATGTACTTGAAGCGTATATGATTGAATATTATAAAGTAGCGAGTGGAACAATTACTTTTTTAACGTCATATTATTCGTATAAAATGTCACATTCAAAGCTCCAGTTTTCGAGATCGCTCATTTTCACCTTGGACCGTGCCTATCCCCAAGTTGTAGATTTAAACACCACTCACTGATTGGTTGCAACTAGGTTTGCCTTTTTTGTTTCAGAAATGGCATCTATCCATTAACGGCTTTCGGTGCCAAACAGCCCCCTCCGACCCGTTCGCGGGCGATATCTCCAGAAATGGCGGAGTCCGTCAAGTCAGTGACCCCCGAACCGACTGATGTAGAAACTAGGAAAATAATTAATATGATGTGTGATGTTAAGTCCAAAGAAGAGAGCTGTGATTTACTGGTATGTATTAAACCCCACTTCTATGCGTAGTTTCTATTTAATGTTGGGTCCTTTTGTAAGGATGACAAAGGTGTTAAATAGTAGCTGTGATGTATTAAGCCGCAAAAGCAGCCCAAGGTAGCGACTTGTTTTAAACTTTTTTCTAAATTGTAAGCATTTTAGGGAACAAAATGACAGCTTGGTTGGTCCAGAGAAAAAATGGTACAAATTATTTTTGAGTTACAGCAGGTCCATTCGTGTTCTCGTTGCAAAAGTATTCGTTTTGTATCTTATATTCCTAGCTTAAAAATAAAATAACGCATTTTGGCTGCTTATTTGCATTAAGGTTTGAAGTTCAACATGTCTAAAAAATGCCGTCTCTCGGGAAAGAATTTACCTTATTGCCGGGAGAAAAATTTATGTTTGTAAATTTCTTTGTTTCAGTTGACTATTGTTTTACGTATGGATGATAAGATGAATAGACAACTAACCAGTTCGATATCTCCTAGTGATAACCCCAAAGTGCTAGCGCAGGAATTAGTACATTATGGCTTTGTAAATGAAGTAAGTTCATATGTCTATAATATTTTTACCTGTAGGCTGCTTTATGAATTATGTATCTATTCCAATATAACAATTTTGCTATAAAAGGGACAAAATAAATGCCTGAAAATATTGATCGTAATGTATAAATAAGAAGAAATGTATTGGGTTTTCAGGTTGATCGTGATAAAATAGCGACGTTAATAGAAGAAACGTTGCAAAGTTCGTCTGGTCATAGTAGTCCTACTCACAATTTCCAAACAGCATTAACGGAAACGTTATCCACGCAGCAACAACCAGTAGTCAATAGTATCCCGTCATTGACGACAGTCAATAGTGCACCAACTCAAGTGCCCATGAACTCTACCAGTTAGTAGTTTATGGACCTTTTGCTGCTGATAGCACTCATTAACATTTTACTCTCAGAGAGTACGGACACTAATACATTTCAAAAGATGAACCCTAACCTAACATAAAGATGCAGGGAATATTTTTAGAATACAATCAAATTGTTACTGACTCATTATTTTTTATCAGTTGGTAAGAAACAAATTAAACCTGCTTCTGGCTTGTGATAATATATTGGCGAAATTGGGTGTAAGTGTTGACATTTTTTATAAGGAGGGTATATATGTATATACTATAAGATTATCGAGAAGACTGCGAAAATGATAAGTTGGACACTGCGCTAGTCATTTGACCATTTTTTAAATCTGTGATTGAGTCCCGATGAAATTATCAGCACCGTATGTACAGAAAGGTCAAGATGAAGGTGTTGAGTATCAGATCGATCTAAAATTTCTTGATGTAAATTATCAACTGATTTTCCCAATTTTTACGTCGTTTAATTCAGGGTTGATTTTTAATCACTTATGAACGACGTGAACCTGATAACCCGGCATTTTGACTGGCATAATTTTGTCCGTACGTTGCTTCTCATGCTATAGCGTAATCGATTGGCGCTTTTAGCAGTAAGAAAATTACATCACGAATCATTTTAAAAGAAGATGTGCCATTTAGTCAATTTTTTATGCTTAAGCGGAATTTAGCGCCATTCTAAACCTAAGTAAATTGGCGAGAAAGCAGTCCTGAGATCTATGTCGTTTTTTTATCGAACGCTTTAAAAAAATTAACCCTGGTCCTCTCATTAAAACATTAAAAAAAATATTTTATTGCATATCAAGTGAATTTTTATGAAAAAAGAATCTTGGGTTCAAATCTGATTTCTGGGCAATTTACTGGGTTTTGAGAAACACGCCGCGAAGGCCCCACTTTCGTAGTCCTAGTTTGAACAATTTAGATTTTACCCGCATCCTGTCAAATATATGTAAAAACAAACATATGAAATGTCTTTCGCTTCCGTTTTCTGATCCAAATACTCGTCGCGAATAATCATCATTATTTGCCTCTTGAGACTGATATAACTAAATAAAATATTTAGAGACGCAAAACATTGTAACAAGTAGCATTTAGTCGCTATTAAGGCAGGACCAAATAGAGGACTACAGTTTGACCAAATTTGATGGCGCAAAAAATGTTGTGCTCTGGCAAAACACTAAATGGTTTCTATTCTTTACCTATAGATACTGACATTTCAGGTTCCTGCAGAGTATTACTTCTTCATTAATATTTCGAAAGTGTATTTTTTTTGTTTTATTATTGGCTAATATATAAAGTTTGGTTCTATTGACTTTGCCATTTATCCAACAGTTTCAAACATTTACTTTTGCTAGCTTTACTTGTTTTGATTTTACAACTGTTAATATTTTGCTAAAAAATCTGATAACACTTTCCTCTCCAAGTGTTGTCTCAATTCCTGTTTTCACCCATCATGCTCTGTGTATATTGGACAATTTTTCGTTCACTTAAGAATTTAAACTGAAAATATATTATCTATAGGTGTTGCTTGTTTAAATGTTGCAACGTTATTTATACCAGGGTTAATCATCTTCCATCCCTGTAAATGGTATGGCGTAATTAACACGTGAAAACGAAATTTAGTGTTTTAAATTGGCATACATATACATATACAAGGCATTTTGAAGCTCGCTGCCAACGAAGAAATAAATCATTTATGGCCTATGAATTAAAAAAAAAAATCAAAGAATGCAAGCGATGTTTCGTCTATGAGATTTATAGAATGATAAGCTTTGATCTATGTCGTATAGCTACTTTTTTTAATAATTTCATAAAAAAATACGTTTTTTCAGGGTCAAATTGGAAAATAAGATAAACTAATAAATATTTGTTATAACCAATTGGAAAAGTAAGTAAATTGTTCACGAGTGTTTTTTTGTTTTGTTCTGTATGGCATTGCGACATAGACCTTGGCCAGGGGTAGTTTTGAAAATTGATAAGGTCAAATCAAAAGTAATATATTTTAAGTTAGATTTTATATTTATAGAACTGTTATTATGTTTAAAGACGCTTCAAAGTATACATACACATATTGTGAATTAGAATGTAAGGATTAAAGTTGTTTTTATTACTTTTGGAGTAACATTATCAAAATTCAAACACTGCTGCTCTTTAGTTAATGACTTGTATATATAATTAACTAATGTAAATGTATGAAAGTGTAGATATTAAATTTTTTATTGAAAATGTGTAGAAAATAAAAAAATAATACACCTATTATTTATTTGTAACTTTTTTTTGTTTTGAGAAAGTAGAGCTTCATTAGAGGTCTCTGTGTGATATTGAGCTCAAACCATTGTATAAGATTATAGAAATCGTAAGTGCCACTGGTACTGCCAAAAATATTTTTATTTAATTTGTAGGCAACTGATTATTGTTTTAATAAAGTTTTTAAGAAATTAATTAAATTGGCTTTCATAATTAGTTTGGTTCTGCTAAACACTTACTAATTTTTGGAGATGGTTGAGAATTTAAAATAATTTGGTTTAGTAAAAATTCCTAGTCCTCTTTGTGCATAGATTTTGAGTATTTTGATTTTGTCCTTGTCCTGTGCAACAAAGAAATCTACTACTGAGTTTTAAAACAGAAAACGAATGTAAGAAATTGATCACATTCCAGATACTTTTGGGAAAGTTTTTATATGAATACAATGCAATATCACAACTTTATCGAATATTTAGTTTATGTCCATAGGATTTAGCTTTTTGATTTCTGATATTTACATCTTAGTTATTATTTATTTTCTCATTTCTGTTGCAATATTCTGACAGTCTAACTGTTTAATTGGCGACTGAAAAGTTCTTTTTCAAATTATGGTCATTTTGTTGGGAACAACTAATGGGAGAGTGGTATAGTCTACCTAAAAAGTGCCCTGTAAGAATTTAATAAAAATTTAAAAACATGTGAGGTAGGTGAAACAATTTTTTTTCTAAAGACTTCAAACAACAACGCGGGTTTTTAATTTTCATTTCTGAAAAATAACAGAAAATATTTCTGGCAGTATCTTGTTCTATCAGAAAGTAATGCTTCTGGAATTAACGCCAATAAATTTGTGATTCTTCATTTTACTTCATATGTTGCATTATTTATTGGTGCTAAAGATGGATGGTCCTTTAATATGTTGATTATCTAATTTTGCTGTCTTCAGTCTATGACTATATAAATAAAATAAACCTTTTTTTTTAAATAATATAATGATTCGTTTGATTTATGCAGGCGGCGGTCCCACAGCCTTAGCTCCAAAATGGAGTTGTTGAATCGCCCTACGGCCTTGTGTAATTCTGTTAATATCTATTTATATATTTGTGTACTAAAACAAAAATTATGGCCGCTATTTAACGGTGGTTAATATAATCTTAGATATAATCATAACAGTTAACATAATCCAACTCGTTCAGTTTAACGTTAATAGGAAGTTTACAATGGTGCAAACAAGGTAGAAAATAGCGCAGAACAGAAATAATAAGTAATGCCCACACCGAAAATTTAAAAAAATGCTACCAGATTAATGATATTTCAAGACTTTGAAGGGCTAAGTTTATAATCTATTTTCCCTTAGTGGGTAGTATAAAATAATAATGCAGATATCAATGGTCGTGTTAAAGAGCATGCACATACAAAACAAAAGAGTGCTTATTTTATTAATTAATATTTTTCACCAAAATTTTACGCACAGTGAAGGCAAATTAACCTCACAGTCACTATTTGCTGCCATTTACTTCTTGTTCAGCGCCATCTATTGTGAATCGAAAATACGTTTTAAGAATCATCAATCCTATAGAAAACGAATCTGCGACAATAAGATTTAACAGTAGTCCCCCTCAACAACCCTAAGTATTAAAGACGTATTTTTTGATCTAAAAAAAAACGTTATTTGCTAGTAAAGAAGTACACGGAATATAATGAGCAATTGATAACGCTTTTCCTACTACTTTAAGCGTTGTCACGATATATAACGGCAAATTACGTAAATGTATTTAACTAGTTTGTGTTAAATATAGAAACAAAATTTACAAAAATAGTAACGGATAATAGCGATATGCGGGTTAGCAGGAGCCTTGCATAAAAGAATACAATTTGTTTACATTCCAAAGGAAAACCTTTCCGGTGATAAAGATCTCAACCACACATTTTTATTGGCCAAGTTATAACCGATTCAACAAAACCTGAAGCGGGGATCATTAAGCAAAAGCGAAGCAGCGCAAATTTCAAGTGAAGTTAGTTTCCAAGAGTACTTCCAACAATATGGGTCCGACAAATTTAGCACAAATCTCTAAACAGGAAGTGGTTGATTTTGTCAAATCCTTTGATTACGTTTTTTGTGATATTGACGGTAAGTCACTGAAAACTATTTTTATACGCATAAAATTCCTTACAAGAAAAATAATGGACGATAGATCATAATTTTAAAAATAATTGGTTAGATTAGTTTTCTAGAAGAATGAAATAATTTCGCAATAATGACAAATTAATTGAACGTTTTTTCAATGAAAACAAAACTATTGTGATTTAGTTTCTGATTTATGCTAAATAAGCATTTTGCTTTGTGTTTCAGGTGTTTTACTTTTGGGCGGCACAGTTATTCCAGGTTCAAACGCGTTCATTTCGAAATTAAGGAAACTCAAAAAAAGAATTGTCTGCGTCACAAATAACACGGTTTTTTCTGCGAACGTTTTAGAAAAATTCTTGGTCCCGTTTGATGTACCTAAAGCGGATGTCGTTAATCCGTCGAGGGCCATTTTAGAGTACTTAAAGAAAATAAATTTTAATAAAAGTTTGTACGTGATCGGAACAAATGCATTTAAAAACTCGTTAAGGAATGCGGGATTTAATTTAATCGAATTTAAGGTAAAATTCTTACGTCATGTACGTACACAGTGTCCTCCATAATATGTGCTATATATGGGAAAAAAGTGGGGGCATGTCCAATTGTCAAATATTAAAATTTCGGACTCTTACAAATAACAGGGAACAATATGGGGGCCACCGTAGGTACATAGAGCAGAGTAAAACTAGATTTGTTAAAATTTATACAGAGCTTAGCAGCGAATTACTTTGCAGCCAGACAAACTGGACGAGTTTATGGGGGTATTAAGAACCGAAGTGAAAAATGTAGAAGAAACCGAAGCTGATATTGGAGCAGTCATAGTGGACATGGACATAAATTTCAGTCTTGTAAAAGCTGAGCGAGCCGTAATTTTACTAACTACAAGAAATGATATTCTATTCTTGTCGGGAATGTCGGATCACTCAATTCCATTCCCTAACAAAATTAATGTACTAGGTAAAATTTAACCAGACATTTTATGTCTTTAAGTGCTAATATTTTTTGCACATTCATAATCCCAAAACGTCAACTTGATATCTTGAATGGTTCAAAAATTAACCCAACTAATTTTTTACACCGACTTTATAATAAGGACAAATATTGTGCAATAAGTAAATTAACTAAAAATATGCAGAATATACAGTTTTTTAATTATGTTAGAAAAAAAAAAAGAAAAAACTAAAACTAATTTGTCGTAACATATGGAGTATTTGTTTGGAATAATAAAGGCTATTTGAATTTCTAGGATCAAAATTTTACATTGACGCAATAGAAGATATAACAAAGCGGCAAAGCATTAAATTTGCCAAACCAAGTTTGCAATTAAAGAACATCCTTAACGAAGATTTCGGCGTGACAGACTCGGGAAGGGTTTTATTTATTGGCGATTCGTAAGTAATGTCATGAGCCCCGTATGTTAAATATTTTTTTCTGTTTTATTTTTTCTTTTTTTCTATATTTTTTGTTTAACTTAATGTTATGTCGTTGCGTTTCTTCTTAATGTTTTTGCACCTATATACGGTCATACGGTATAAAATTAATGCTTTTCCGGCTTAATATGAATAAATCGCTTAATTGTTATAGGCAAGATTGATTTAGAAACTAATAAACACAAATAAAGAAAAATTTACCTCTATTTCTAGGTTTTTCATCATATTTCTTACCATGACTTTTCTGTGAAAGTATCAATATTTAGTTTTAATTTAACTAAAATTAATTTTAGGCTTATTTTAAAGCTGGTTCAGCCTTGTCCCAACCTTGTTGTCATTTTTCCTAAAAAATGCTATTCTTTTTTTACAAAATTACCACTAGGTTTGGCGATAAAATGGATGTCTGTATTGTTTTACCCAACCATAGTTAAGATTAACCAGAAAAATAATAAGATAGGATGAACGTAAATAAATAAATAAATGAAAGTATTTTTATTATATTTTAGAATCGACAGCGATATGGGATTCGCGTCGAATTGTGGATATCAAAAGTTACTAGTTCTAACAGGCAATGCTAACGAAGATGATATCAAGAACTGGAACTTTCCTGAGGAATATAAACCCAAGTATTTTGTTCATTCTTTAAATGACTTTAGTGAATTGTTGAGTAGATATAATATCGTATAACGATCAAATAATGTAATATATTGACGATATTTTTCACGCAGATCGTTTTTAAATGGTTTTCCCCATTGTAATGAACATCTCAAAATTTTAATGATTAACTAGACTTTTTTCAAAGATAAAAAGAAAATGAGAAAACATCCCCAATTAATAGACAAATTGCTGGGATACAGTAATTGTTTGTTATAAAAAATCATGACAATTTTTGTTTATAATTACCTACCTAATAGGAATAAATAAAAAAATATATAATCGCAAAAATTAACTGGAAAACAATTTATAAAATATCAGAGTCCAGTCTATAATTGTCAGCGATTTATTTTTATTCGTAAATTTTAATATGCAACGTATCGATTAATTGATTAGCCCTTGTTGCGACCCACTGAATACGATCAGCACATTAGCAGCTATTCGTAAAGGAAATGATGTGAACTCAAAATTGGTAAACGTGATAGTACAACATAACTGATTTTGTTGAATGCTGTTGAACGATCCAATAAGATAAGCGCAGTTTTTTTCTCCTGCGTTTTATATATCTAAGCTGCAACTACGAATGCTCGTAAAGCTATCATGGAAAAATGCATTAGGCCAGTTTCGTTTGCCTCCTGAGGATTTATTCGCTCTATCAAACTATTCGCAAGAACAATTTGTGAATGTGCGCGAAAACAGTTAAAGGATGTGCGATTATTCTAAAATACATTATATTCACACAAGATAAGCGATTGATAACAATAATATAAGTACATGTGTTTCGGAAAAAAAGTTAGTTTTGATAAATTTTTGGCGCGTTCGATATGACTCGGCTCAAAGATCTCGAACTGGTCACGAAAGAAGATTTAACTGGTTTTATTAACTCCGTGCAGTATGTATGTTTCGACATAGACGGTAAGAAATCACAATTGAACACAGTGAACTCGAGTGAGTCAAATTTTATTTAGAGAGAGACTGGTAGCACTTTAATGCTAAAGGCGGATAACTGTAATACGAGATTGTTTTATGTTATTTATCGACTTTTCGAATTCGGTGTTTCTTTTTTCGCGCTAAATGGCTTGTTACGGGGTATTCTGTGAAATCATTTCAATCGTTCTTTTTTATTTTTGGAACCGGTTGAACTTTATTTAAAAATTAACATGTTTATTTATAAATATCCCAGCTTTTGACATATTTTATTGAAACTGTCGACTTAGGTTAAACTTTTATGTAAATTTTATAAATAAAATCGGAGTACTAGCAGAAAAAAGGATTTCCTGTGCCCAATTACCCCCCAATTTTTCTGGACGTACTATGATGGTCTTAAGAGTTTTTTCCGTTTGATGAAGTTCTTACTTTCCATAATCTCGTCTCTCTTGTGAATTTGTGATGACAATTATAGTTTTTGAGATATTGTACATTTATTAAACAATTAAAAGTTAAACAATGACCATTAGTAAATAACAAAAATAATTTTAAAAATTAGGTATATTGTAACAAAAATTTATAAAATAAATTTTTGTTTAACTTATACAGGAGCTTCCAAAACTCATAAAATGCAAATGGTAGTCGTTGGAAATGGCAATCCCCATAAACAGAATCTTTAATAGACCCTCAAAAACTGTAATCCCAAGAATTAAAATCCAGGGAACGAGCTGACAATTGGGGCTCATGTGTGTCTCCGTCCAAATCATGCATCATACATTTCTTTTTTACCCATTAAAAGCGAGTATTAGTAGTAGAGTCTTTTGCGTATATCTATGTACCTCATATTTGTACTTAAAATTTTTTTAAATACACAAGAAATTAAAAATTATATAAAGTTAGCGGTTTATTAAATGAAAAATCTTAAGTCGGCATGCATACATCGAAAAAAATTCACGGGTTGCTCCATCTGTAGACTCACCCTGTATATTCGACAAAATATTTTTTTTTGTTCACAACATATGTTGCATATTACTGATCTGATCTGATTTTGTTTTATAAATAAATAATAACTCTACGAGAGAATAATTTTGGTGAATCAAGTAATTGAACAACGAGGACACCCATAAATGATGAAGTGACACACACGAATCCCCATTACTCGCCATCTTTTTCTAGTGTTAATTTTGCTTCACTTTTCTATCACACCGTTGTCATTCAAGTTGATATCGACTTTCTGTCACACCGCGGTTCGATTTTAATTTGGATCGAGTTCACTGGCAAACACTACCATAATTCTGAAGTGTCGCTTTTCGATATAGGTGTCCTGCTACTGGCGGGAAAGTGTATTCCGGGTGCTCAGGAATGCATAGCACGACTCAGAAAACTGGACAAAAAAATCATTTTCGCCAGCAATAACAGCGTCGCCTTTGTGGCAACATTAAAGTCACGTTTGAGCGAGTTTAATGCTGTCGAAGATGAAATAGTCACACCGAACGAAGCCCTTATCGACTATTTGCAAGACATTAATTTTCTTGGGGACATATATGTCATTGGTGGGAGAGCTACCAAAATAGAACTTAAAAAAGTTGGTTATAACGTTATCGAGTTTGAGGTAATAAAAAACAAAAAATTAAGACTGTTTAAAAAATCGATCTTTTCCATCTTTTCAGACGGAAACAATTGAGGAATCGTTAATCGAATTGCGGGCCGAATGCGTACAGGCTTACGAACGCGCGCAAGAGATTGGAGCTGTAGTGCTAGATTTCGATCTAAACTTTAATTTGCTTAAAGCGCAGCGAGCTATTACTTTGTTAAACGCTAACAAGGACATACTCCTTTTTAGTGGTGCCAGGGATGACATCGGCCCTCTTTCAAAGGAACTAATTGCATTGGGTAGGTAAGTGGGGTGTTCTGCAACCGATCACGCAGGTACAATTAAATAAAGGCTATTTTCTTCGAAGCCTCCCTTCAGTATCCTCATCGTTTTAATATTAGTAATCAAAATCTGAATATAAACGGAGCATGCCGATTCATCTTCAGGTTAAATTGTCCAGGGCAATAAAATTGAAATTTAAGTATGCTAAATCGATACTAATAACTAAAATTAATTACGTGTCATTCCGGTAATATCTGTAGAGCAACAAATCTAATCAGATCATTAAATATGATTTAGGTCTCGCACATTATTTACATTACGTGACGTGAGTGCCAAATTTAAAATGTTTTAGAATTTCTGTTACTTTCGGTGATTTTATATAAGGAAAAATAAAATACTGTGCAGCATTTATAAAAAGCGGATTCCAAAATATATTCGTTATGTACGAGTAGCCGTCACCAACTTCTTTTTTTTTTTTTCTAATACGGACTTTATCCATTTTGTACTCTATTTTTGAGTTTTAAATACAAATTAACTTTGCAAACACCATATAATATTATATAAGCATTTAAAAAAAAATAATGACCTCTCTAAAGCAAACAAAATTGGAAAAATACCCAGGGTCAATATTTGTTGCTCCTTTTAAATAATTTTGTTCTAATTTTTTGGAGGGGCTGTGACATGGGACTGGAATTTGGGACATAGTGTATATTTCGAGTTTTATGTTCACAAAAATCACCTACAACTGAATGTATGCCCCAAAACACATTTCCGGTCGCGATGACTTTTAAAATAATTATTATTATCTCCATTCATTTTCTTGTGTCAATAATATCCACCTACGTGTGCATCGTGGGATTTTTTAAACATTGAAGGTGATGTTTAAAATCGTTATCAATTTCGAATGATTTCAAATGCGGCCGTCAAAATATGTCACCTCGTTTTTAACTAACCGAATGCAATTGTATTTAGGTTAGGTTAGGGTAAATATAACAAAAATTTTTTAGCGAGTTTTGTAAAAAAACTTAAATTGTATGTGTAGATGTTGGGGAAATAATTGAGGAAACCATAACATACCATTTTAAACCAAAAAGATATTAAAATATAACCGAAGTTTAATAGTGGAATTTTTCTAAAAACAATTCGCTATTTGCTACATTTTTTAGGACCTAAATTCTATATCGAAACAATTGAACGAGTGACAAAAAGGTCCAGCATCGACTTCGCCAAGCCTAGTATGCTGTTGAAAGACGTTATCCAAGACAAATACGACATTGATGATCCAAAAAAAGTACTATTTGTCGGAGACAGGTGTGTAATCTTATACTCAATAGGAAGGCTCACCGCTACATAAAATGTCTTTCAACCATTCATCTCATTTTTTTTTAATTATTGAATCCCTTATATATATCCAAAGGTGATAAATAAGAGATAATATGAAAATACGAAAATTTCAAACTGAATTTGCTAGAAAAGATATTTAAATCTATTAAAAAAAAAAGATGTTTCTCAACTTTGTTAGTATAAAAAATATATAGAAAGATGTGATCATTTATCAGAACCACACTTCTATTACTTAAATTTATTTTTTTACGGACTTCTCAAAACCAAGGTGCATCGTTATATTTCTAATTTTGAAAGGTAATGCTGTTAAATTTAATATCCGTTGTACTACAGCAATTAAATTATAAACCTAGACCAGGCAATTCAACATAAATAAATGTTTATTAACGAGAACTAAAAGAACTAAAAGATTCTGGGCATAGAATGGGGTTTACCTCTTTTGTTGGTTATACCTAATTTGTTAATGTCGCCGCTTACAGGTAAGTCTTGAATTTCTGACCTGTTAAAATCGTCATTGCAACAGCTTATATCACATACCAAACAACACAAAACTAGTTATTTCTGCCATGATAACTGGAAACTTTAAACACAAAGCACACAAAAATCGCAAAAGTACCAATGCGTACTAGGATCAAATGCGGCTTGGAAATGTCAAAAATCCCAATGCTTAATCAGAGACTATAAATGAGTACTGAGCTGCCGAACATCTGAGCAAAATCTCAAATATGTAATTAAACTGTAACGGTATTTCTCTTTATAACCTATATTTCTTATTTAGTTTTCCAAATTTTACTCAAATGGGTCATAATTCTTGAACAATTTTTGAACAAATCTCATTAAGTGCTCACAGTACTGTACTTACTTTCTTTGCAAGTGAAATGGACGTTTTCTTTCTAATTTTAATGTGTAGCTGTAACTTTTTATTATTATCACATTGATTGTTAAGCTTAAACATTTAAATAGACTTTCTGTTTGGCATATCAAACGGATCCATTTGATATCTAAAACGTCTCATAACGATAATAATTCATATCTCTCAAATTTAACAAACTTTCAAGAAACCGTTTTCTACGTACGTACGCACTTAAATATTAATTATTAATAAAGTTGTGTGCAGAATAGCAACAACCAAGTAAAGTAACAGATAATCTCACAGCTGTGCACAGAATCGACTGCTTATATGTCAACCAATAACTGTTAATAATTGTGGGATCTCCTGTAAGATTATATCTTTTTTTCAGTCCGATATATTAACACAAAAAATGTTTCATTATTATTTAATATATAAATGTAGCAAACAATCGCTTTAAACAGTAACCAAATTTTCAGCACGCTCACTGACGTCGCGTTTGCCAACCAAAGTGGATTTCAAAGTCTGTTAGTATTAAGCGGAACGACCAAAGCGGACGAAGTCGCCAATTGGAATTTTCCCGACGACCACAAACCCCACTATTACGTAACTAGTTTAAAAGAACTATCTGAGGTACTTGAAAAACACAATGTAGAATAAATTAAAGGATCTTCAGTTTCGTCATAGTTTTTATTTATTTGAAACCTGAGGCTAGAATTTCAAATCCCACAAAAAGTAAATATTTCCTACAAAAAATATTAATATGGTAATTCGCAGAGACATTCTTTACAAAAAGTTCAGATCTTCTCCGTTAATAATTAAAGCGCGAATAAACTCGCTGGTAAAAACAACTCAACGGAAAAATTATTTAAAACCTTCTAAAAAGTAAACAATAAACGCAAAACAAGACGAATGCTTTTTTTAGAAGATGTTTCAATGTGCATAACATAAGAAATAACACAAATTAGTAACACCCTGAATTCCTTCAAATTTGTGCATGAACTGTTGTGGAGTAAAATTAATAATAGTTAATCCTGTTGATGTTATTGATCTGGTATATCGGTATATTACTTCACAGTTCACAAGCAGTGGAAAAATCTCATCGGATAATGACTCATCTCTTTGAAACAAGTGGACTAGTTTTAGGAACATTTCACAATTTAGTTCAATGCAAGTCTATGCGTTTAGCGTGATTAAGTTATTCTGCAAAGTCAAGTTTCAATTGTTGCTACTCTAATATTTTTTACAAAACTCCTGGATTCCTTCTCCGCATGGTATAGGTAACAAATATTTATTTGCTCTGGGGCGGAGTGAAATACTCAATTCAAAGGAGAATTTTAAAAATACTTTTTTGGTTAGTTCTGTTGTTAGTTTAGTTTTTGTTTAATGGTATCTAATTGTAGTAAATGTTAAATAAATTATTATTTGCTGGAATTAATAAATCAGTTCTTGCTGATTGATCTGAAATTATCTTAGACACATGGAAACAGGAAACAAATCGTTCTAAAGGGTTTAATAGCAGTTTAACCCTGTGTATTGCCAGAAATCCGTAATTGCCAAATAATTGCCATTACCTGGCGATAAGGACTATAAGAGGCAGTTGGGTACGATAGACATCAAAATAGTTTACAGGATAGCGCTAAGAGTTCGTGAGGTGAAAATAATATCAAAAGTGTGCGGAGTTGCTAATTTTTAAAGTTTCCTATTTACTATCGTAAAAACCTATTCGGTGCGGTATCTTGAGACTCAAAATCCGTTGTAAATAGTTGAACAAGCTAACAGCAGATATATCTATATGCATTAAGGATTGCCACATTGCATATGATAACAACCATTTGAGTAAATTAGTTATACTAAGTAGGTGTTGACGGTCTATTCTGGGTCATGCCTTTACTAGAGAATCTAGAGTTTGCGTCGAAAGAGCTGATTCATGCATTTGTGAACTCCTTCGATCACATATGTTTCGACATAGACGGTAAGAAATAAAAGAAACTAGTGACGTAAATGTTAATTAATAAACGCAATCGTTTCAGGAGTTTTGATGCTTGCCGAACATCCCATTCCTGGTGCCAAGGAGTTCCTTTCGAAAATGAGAAAACTGGGCAAAAATGTCATTTTCGCGAGCAACAACAGTGTGTCGTTTTTGGAGACTTTAATAGAACGGTTGAAACATTTCGATGCCAGCGAAAACGAAATCATCACACCGAACGAGGCTCTCATCGACTATATGAGGGACGTTAACTTCAAGGGCAACGTATTCGTAGTTGGCGGAAACGCTACCAAAAAGCATCTTAAAGACGCTGATTACAATGTTGTTGATTTCCAAGTGAGTAATAATCGGTAGTTTGGGATAATGGCAGTTTTTGAAATAACATAATTTAACAACAAAATCAAAAAAATGAAAAGTGAAAACAAAAAAACATTTTACATAATTTTTGGTTTAATCAATTTTTTAAAAGAAATTGTTACCTTGCTACGCAACAAATGTTTATACGAACTTTAATTTATTATTGTTTTTATTGTATTTCGCATTTAAAAAAGGCTGGCTTTCTAGATGTAGATTTCGAAATATTAGCAACCATTCTTCGCCGTAATCTTCTTGTATAATTAATAGGCGTGTAGCATTTTTAAAATGGAAAAACGCTTTATTGCTAATATTTCGAAATCTACATCTAGAAAGCCAGCCTTTTTTAAATGCGAAATACAAAAAAAGTTTAAATTTTTAAAGCACGACGACTCAAGTAGATCGCCTTCTATAAGGAAACCAAGTATATGAAAAAGGATTTAATCGGAGAAATCGATAGATATATTTGGACTTATAATGGCGCTTTTCACAATAAATTTAAAACACCCTGTACATATAATAATGCATGCATAAATGAAACCAAACTTTTATATTTTTGCACTTACATTTTACTTGCACACGGAATTTATTTGCCGGTTTAATATAAAGATAAGAACAAAAAAAATCAATGCAGTTCAAGATAACATACTTTAAGTCTATTGTTTTTAGACTAAAACTGAATAAACTAAACGGTTTAAATATGACTACGTCCTTTTTATTTGTATTTTCTGTTCATGTATAACGTGATAATTTCAAAATTAATAATTTAAAAGACAACTAGAAAAGGCGGCAATATTTTATTTAATATGGAGAAGCAACGTGAAAAAGAAACGTTGGTTTTCAAACTATTGTTTTTATCCGAAAATTAAACTATTATTTATCTCCAGATATATTTTTATACTTAAAAACTTGACTTAAAACCCTCTATAGTGTAATAATATTACTTTCAGCCGGAAAATATTGAAGAATGTTTAACTGCCCTGCGGGATGTATGTCTGCAAGCCTACAACTCTGGGAGAAGCATCGGAGCTGTTGTCTTGGATTTTGATCTTAATTTTGGACTTTTAAAGGCACAACGCGTTATTAATATTTTAAACGCAAATAAAAATGCGTTGCTTTTTGTGGGTTGTAGAGACGACAAGGGACCACTTTCAAAAGAGTTGGTTATGCTAGGTGAGTGTGTAAATATACTTCTGTGCAGAATTACAGGGTGCGTCGAAAGAAACATAGCTCATGAATGCAGGGCTGTATTGAATTTACACAAATAGCGTAAAAAATCATATTTAAGAAAAGTTATTTTTATGCGGTTTTTAAAAATATGTAAAATATATGAGTACGTATTCGTAAGTTCGCCGTAACCAAATCAATAGGATAATAACATTTTTGAAACCAAATTTTGAATATTTTACACTATTTTGACCTGAAAAGCAATTGCAGGGTTTGGTTCGTTCTTTTGATCCACCCTGTATAAAATGTCGATAGTGCACTGTATTATTGCTTTATTTCTGACAATTGAGGGTTGTTTTGTTTTAGAACAATATTATGTTGGGGATCGTGTGGATGACATTATTTTTAATAATATCATTCTTTTGTTAGGTCATATTTATATTACACCATCTTAAAGCAATAGGTTAAAAATTGCATCTGCTCAAGAAATGTGCTGCCGTTGCCACTTAAATTAAATATAATCCAATATTTTTATCATGGCATACTCATCAAAAAACTATAGCAGGCTCACTATACGTCTCTCTAACTGGAGTATCACTTTAAATTCAGGACAAATAAAAAACGTATTTGTTAGAGGTTTAATTATGCAACAAGTGAGGTAAACGGCATTTGACTCACCAGTCTATTTACCGTACGTGTTGTATACTATACTTTTTCTACGACCGTTAGTTTTTGGGTACATTTTCGGAAAACAACACGAATACATTCACTGACATGACCGTCCGAATTGACAAACGTCAAAATTCAAAGCGTGGGAAATATCTCCGAAAACATCCGATTGATCCCAAATCCGCGCGGTAAAATCCCGAAAATGTCCGAAGTGGCTCGGATTCATGGGAAACGAAACTGACGTGGTAAAGTGACGCTTCCCGCACACTAGATCGGTGATCGGTATTTTACAGACGGGAGTACGCAAAAACCAACGGTCGTAGAAAAAGTATAGTATGCAACGCGTTCGGTAAACTTTTTAACTCACTCGTGTATAAAACACTCGCTTCGCTCGTGTCAAATAAACTCGTGAGTCAAATGCCGTTTACCGCACTTGTTGCATAATACACTATTAAGTGATGGTTTATTATTTTGATTATTTTCTCAAACATGAAGTATAGATTTCACCAGGATTCGTACTTAAGTCATCCATTACCGAACAAAATGTTCAACAAATGTTTAAAGAGAGTGAATTAAAACTACGAGCTTATTAATACTTGTCTTCTATTTTTTTCGATGTTTATTGAACTTGGCATTAAAAACTTAATTTTTTAGGTCCGAAATTTTACATAGACGCAGTCGAACGGACCACAAATAGAATAGGAATACCGTTCGCCAAGCCTAGCGTTTTGTTTAGAGACGCCCTTCGACAGAAATACGACATCAAAAATCCCGCAAGGGTTTTATTTGTCGGAGATAGGTTCGTTAGTTTTGCTTTCCCACAATAAAATAGACATTTCGTTGTTTTATTTTCTTTTCAGCACCTTCAGTGACGTAGGGTTTGCAAATATGTGCGACTTTCAAAGCCTGTTGGTGTTAACCGGGACGACCAAAAAGGACGATGTTTTGAATTGGTGTTTTCCCAAAGACGATAAACCGAATTTTTACGTAGCAAATCTCAAAGAACTTTACGAACTGTTAGTCAAATATGATATGTAATAAATTAATTGTAGACGATGCGAAAGCCTTTTATTTCTGTAGACTCTTATTATCGTTAAGGTTCACTTGAATCTCCACCGGATCAGGTTGTGGCATAGTAAGATGTTGATACACCGGTATCTATGAAATAGTAAGTTTTAACCGGTATAATTCAAAAAATATATAGTTACGTAAGGAAAAGACGTATCAAGTTTTAAATCTCTGCTTTTTGTGGTCCTTTCAGGGACGTTATAAAAATGTCCGAGTAGCGGTTCCTTCAGTCTGCTACCATAAATTTTACTATGGTCAACGTGGATCAAGTCTTTTTCAGCTTGCTTTTGTAGCTGTTTAATGGTCAGTCTTTTTGGGAAGGATCCTCCACATAATACCTAAAATATAAAAAGGAATGAAACGAAAACGATTTGATTATATTAAACATGGAGATGTAAGAAGAACGCGTACATTCAAAACAAACCAAACGAACGCAAACAATACGGCCTACTGCTCTACCTACGCTTATGCAAACCACTAGTTGTGCAATGGGCGTACAGTTTTTCACGGTTTTTCGAGTACTGGAACATGTTCACAATTATTTTATTCACTTTTTGAACTAACTCGTTCTAATATATTTTGAGGAAATTCCTGTCAAAATTGGCTTTTTTGCAAATTTTTGAAGAAAAATTTGCACACTAGCTTCAAAGAGTATTTTTGACTGAACAACAAAAAATAAGTAAAACTCCTCTCACTGTAATAGATTTCGATTAAATTCCAGTCATGATCAGTTTTTCCGCCACTGTAAACTCCTTCAAACCTTCAGATATTAATCTAAAGTTTCATTTTTTGGGATTGAAAAACAATAAAAAATTACTGAAACTCCACTCTTTCAAATAAATTTAGATGAAATTCCGGTCAAAATCAATCATTTTCAATTAATTTATTCAGGAAAAAGGGGCCCTCATATACGGTCATTAAATAGACTTAGGTAGGTTTACAGAGATTGGGCAAAAAGTGTTTGCGCCTCACAGTGGGCCAGGGAAACCCTAGGTGTTTGACTAATTCGATTTTTTTGTAATGCCAATAAATTTTACTTAATATTAATAAAAATGCAGCAATAATTACTGTACTAGTAAAAACTTTTAAATCATGAAAACAGTTTAATAACACTACACAAAATGTAGAAAAATTTTGAAATACACATATTTAAGTAAATAAAAAAATAATAATACAGGGTGTCCCAAAATTAACAATTTAACAAAAAAGTTATTTATTTTATATATATTAAAACAAAATATTGTTATCGGATTTTTTAAAATATTTAAGTTTGTTTGATGGAAAGAAACGAAGTAAAACAATAACATGGCTTTTATACATCTAAAGTATCATTCATCATTTGCTTTGTTTTTGTTACAGTTTTTGCATTAATCCTCTTTGCCCGCCCGGTAAGTTCTTTTTTATGAAATGGAGCGGGTGTGAGCAAGATTGTATCTTGTAACATCACAACATGTTACTTTAATACATAGTATCAACAGCATCCCTAAATTATGCTAAAATTGTAACATATTGCTTAATAAATTACAAACATACTTTCTTGGGCTATTTTTTTAATATGACTCAAAATAATATAGAATTTTTTAAGGACAATTGCCTTTTAGAGTAACTTACTTAGCATAAAATTATTCTCAAAACTTATCTTTGCGGGATTCCTGCATTTTTATTCCTGGATTTTTAATTTTGTCAAAAGCTAATTTGTTTAAAAAAATTCCCTCCCCTTTTCACATCGAAAATTGTATAAATAAAACATTCTCAAAATGATACCAACAACAAACATTAGAAAATTGTTGTTTTCATGGTAACAAGACTACTTAAATCGCTTGTATTGCGAAGGGTTATAACCTATTTAATTAGTCTGTGATAAGGAAAACTTTCATAATACCAAATGTATTATTGCAATAGTTTAGGCTCTCCCTGGCCCACCGTGCGCCCTGGATTGCAATACTGCAGGGCTCTTATTCTTGGCCGCGCAACTACTACTCCTGAGTTTCATGTTGTAATTTTTATAAAACGACATTTTGCACAATGTTGATGATTATGAAGAATTATCACTTTTATTGTCAAACAAATTTATGTAAAGATTTTTCTTTCAATTAGACGAATTTCTCAACAGCTGCGACGAAGTCTTGTTGGACCAACAAGAAAATCAACTATAGCAGTAGAACCAAAGTTAGTTAGCAATAAAGTATTATAAATTAGGTTACAGTGTGATTATTTTATGATCAAGCAGACTATCTACTTATTCACATATTCATATTCACATTCACATATTGATGAAAAAAAAATTCGAAAATTTAGAAGTCAGGCAGTATTTATAGGGTAATGATTGGTCATGTTTATTTGACATTGGTGCTGCGTATTCTTCCCTTCACGAAGAATACGCTTTTTTTATTGGACAAAATTCGAAATAGAAAGAACCGTCAGAGGGTTCGTTGGGAAGGAAAGTGATTGTGTTGTTTTCCTTCAGGACAGACTAAATTAGTGGCAATTTATTTACCCGCAACGTCGTAGAACTCGCGACTCGATGAATGTCTGGCGGAATGGTATACTCGAAATCGGATTCCCCGTATTTCATTTTCATATCGACTTTCTTCCACGTTTTAAAAGTACCGATTGTCTGAAGATATCGTCCCCCTAACGACCACATCCTGGCGCTGAAATCCGCGCTGCAACTGAAAGTGAAAAACCTATTTACACTGAATTCGCGCAAAATCAACGTTGCACCTTATCAAAATTTGGCAATCTTCAATGTACGTTAGCCCAGACACGGGCATAAAATGCCCTTTGTGGCTACTTAAAAGGATCGGCTCTGGTTGATTGGATGCCATTCTTTTAGCTCTGCCCACAAACCTATCGCCCCACATGAACGGAAACATTAAACGATATTTAGGCATCGAGATGGGTAGCTTATCTTCCGGAAGTATGCAGTAATTTTTAAGCAGCCAAGTTTTGATATAACCTGCCGTAGTACCTGAAACATGTGTGACTCCATCCCGCGCCCAAGGGACCCAAGACCCAAAGGAGACCATCATATTCTCAACGCACTTGCAATACTGAGTGGTATAGAGCCTCAACTTATATCGTCTTGGCTTTTGACGGACCCCTTCATTCTTATTAAATATTAATCCGATGCACAAGATACAGTATTCAAAGGGTGGGTTGATTCCGGTAAAATCTGTCAAACAAAAATATCTTCAAATAAAGGAAAACGCACCACCATAATTCACGCTGGATCAGAAGATTTTAGATTGTTTGCTGTGGTCTGATACGAATATAAAGGGCTTTAGCTTGAGCTACCATGAAGATACATGAGCAGATCCGTTTGAAAATTATTTTTTTAAAAATATTCCGGACAAAAGATCATTGTAATGGATAATGTAAGTTATCATAGTTGCCTGCTACAAAAAGTATGAAATTAAAACAAATTAACTGAAATTATTTTTTTTTAATCTTAAAAAGTCCGTCCCCTATGCTCTGTCCAACAATACCTACTCGTAAGGTGCCGTCGGCAAATTATTTATATAATTGCCGTTAAAAGCCAAGAGGATATGCTTTGAGACATAGTATACAACCACTAGTACATCATTCTGGACTCAGGTTTCACGAAACAAATTAACATCATCAACATCTAACTAGACATCCTATTGTCATCCAGCTACCATCCTATTCGAGGTCAAGTAAAGTTTATTACATTTAAAATTGATCAGCCTATGTGTCAAGAAGAGAAAAACTGGGAATATTTATTTATTGATGAAAGTTATAAACCTGACCATATTCATTTTTTTTCTGTAGATATCCAATTCTAAACTTATCGTGATTTCTTATGACTAGTACATTAAAAGAAAGTCATATTGCTATTTTTTTCTTTTTCATAAGTAAGGTTGGTGGACCTGAATTTTGTATTTACTTGTGGTTGAAAAGTGGGTGTATCGCATCATCATGTGTTCCTAAGCTGAGTGCGACGAGTTTCTATGACTAACTTGTCAGGTCTCTTTTTATAATGTTATTGTACCGGTAAAAAGGAATTCGTTTGCCTCATCCGTCGTCATAGCAATGACGTAATCGCCAGCTTTGTGGACAGCGTGGAACGAAGTTATGAATCCTCCGGCAACGCTGTGATTCCAGACTTGTATCACGCCGTTCTCCAATGCCACTAACAGGGTGCCAACTTTAGCGTCATTCTTTCGTGCGCACAAAAATAACATGGAATGGACAGCCAAACGGCGTAAATGGAAACACTCGTCCGGCATCGTGACGATGGATAGCCTACCTTGCCTTCGAGCACGTGGTTTTGGTCCTATATTCAAAATTATTGCCCTGAATAGATTATTTTTGATTTATGAGAAAAATTTCTAGCTTCGGAAATATTGAAAAACAAGCCAGAAAAGTCAGAACTTCTGATTTAAATTCAGAATTTGCGAAACAATAAGATTCAGTTAGTTTTGGTTAATTAATAATACAGAAACTCTACATTGAAGTGGCTTAAAACGGCGTTGATGGTAGAACCAACTGGGAAGAAAGGTTTTCCGCTTTCTTCCTAATATATTCAGCATAGCAACTATTTTTCTATTGTTGCCTACAGGATCTCACACTTGCAAAAAATCTCAGTAAATATAGAAATTTTGTCACGTTTCTCACAAATTCGAACTTATTTTCTAGAGAAATTAAAACCCATGTTTAGTACTGACCAATTCATATAAATTAAAAATAGACATAAATACAGAAAATACCATTATTTGACTTTGTACCACACCATTATTCGACTTGCTGGATAACTTATTTCTATTTATTAATCTGTACTGACATTATATGAGCCACAGTTAAAGGCTCGGCTAGACATTTCGGTTATTAATAAAACTGAATGCAAGTAAAACGTAATATTTCTCTATTTATCTAGTATCGTAGAGAGCATAGTCATGGTATTAGTATTAAACTCTCTCATAGTTACCTGATAATATTTGCTCTTGTGGTCGAGACATCGAAGTACGTTTATGGCCACCTGTAGATGTAAACATATCTCTGACAGTTTGATTTGGTGCCGCATTAGATAATGAAGTTATAGCGGAATCTGTGATACGCGACACGTTGGGTGATCGATTGTCTTTGATGTAACTTTCTTTAGTTGGTTTCCTACGTGTTGATTCCAGAGTGAAATGTATTTTAATTCGCTCCGTTGGGTTCGAAACGTTGAACTTTTTATAAGGTTGTCCCGTTTCCAAGCGCCAGAACAATAGTTCACCGGCGTAAGAACTGCCAATAAAGATTCGAATTGTTTAGTTTACTTAGTACTCCTTGTATATTATAAGGTCGAATTTTTAAATTATTGCCACTACAAAAGAAATCAATTGTGTGAAGTTTCTAATAATTTCAATTGTTTCTTGTTTCATTTCTTATCGCAATTTGCATTATTCCTAATTTCAGTTGATACTGCAATATGGCCGAAATTTACGACAATAGACAAACTGCTACCTAGTGCCAATTTCGAGGTGCTATATCAAGATATAGGGACAATAACTCAAGTCAACACCATCGATAATTTAATATTTACTTCTTTTGTACTTCAAAAACTTTTAGGTAGCATTTTATAACATAAAATATTGATCGATCTTTCACTTGAAGTGAAATATTGTTCTTACCTGGTTGCTAAGGTCTCAGGAACTGTAACTGCACCCGAACTGATATCTTCCGAATGTCGAAGGTCCCAGTTTTTACTGAAAAAAAAATCAAACTTTTATAAAGCTCGATGGTGCCGTAGCTTTGCACCTGAATGCACCTTCCGGCCCAACTGCTTCCCCGGTGTCGGCAAATTCGGTAACACGTCTGTTCCAACCCATTGCCAAAATTCTACTTTTGACCCAGATCACGCATTTGACTTCACACCACGCCTCGATCTCCATGTGTCGTAAACACATCCCGGTGTTGAAATTCCAAATTTTTAGGGTGCCGTCGTGGGCACCTGGTTAATGACTCCACGTCAGACTCAATATGTGAATGGAACATATTAAAATATAATGGTTTTAAGGGCAGAAAAGAGGTCTGTACTAACCTGTCACCAGCCGCTGATAGCCGGGGTCAAACGAAGCTGCAGTTATTTCAACATTCATTAATTCGCCGTGCAACATTCTAGTGTGTGCGTCTTTAATTACCAACAATCGTCTGCCATCCCAAGGGTTCCACGTGATTACATAGCTGTCTAAACCGCAAGTCACTATGACCTATAAAGTCGACATGATCCGCTGATGACTGAAATCCTAATCACTAGAGAGATTTTGGGCTACTTATTTCTATATGATAATGCGCCATTTTCAGGAAATAACGTTTCCAGGTTTTCACCAGTCCATTCAAAAAACATTAAACCTTAAAACGCTTTTCTTATTAATCTCATTGATAATCCTAAACATATCATGTCCATGGGTTGTTATTTGCAGTTTTTCAGTGAAGTTAAGCACGTAAGTTGTCGAAACTTGTACAGTGTGTCCCACTTAACTTTAGCGTTCCATGTTTGTCTATCCATTGCTTCCGTCAGTAAGTCTTGCAGCGGCATATCCGTTATCCGTGATTTTCTTTACTTAGTCTATCCATCTAACAGGGGATCTGCCCCTTGGTCGTTTTCCTTCCAAGTTTCCCTGTGCTATCAGTTTCTCCAGGTTGTCGCGATCTCGTCTCGTGTTGTGTTCAAAGTATTTTAATATTCGCCCGCGACATACTGTGAACAGTCTGTCTTTGATCTTCAGCTCCCTTAGTATAGATTCATTGGTCCATGAAATCCGTAGCATACGTCGCCAACACCACATCTCAATGGCTTCTAAACTTCGTATATCTGGTATTTTCATAGTCCAGGATTCCGCTCAGTACAGAAAGATTGAGAATATAATGTTGCTCATGGCTCCTCGTGCCATTGCTATTCGTCTTTTTATTTCCTGGTTACTTATTAGGGATCCCAGGTACACAAATTCATCTACATTTTGTATGTTTGTGAGGTTCGAAAGTGGAAGTCTATCACCATGAGTTTAGTCTTGCTGAGATTTATTTCCAGGCCCATCCTAGCACTTTCACTTTCCACTCTGTTCAACATCATCCTCATTTCAGTCTCATCTCTCGCCAGCAGGGTTGTCTCGTCTGCAAATCGTAGGTTTGACAGTTTTTTACCACCTATTGACACTTCTCCCTCGAAATCGTCTAGGGCGCTTCTGAATATGTGTTCGCTGTAGGCGTTAAAAAGGCTGGAGGACAATATGCATCCTTGTCACATCCTCTTTTGTATATTAAAAGTCTGTGATGAGTGGTTATCTATTCTCACTATGACTTCATTTGGTTCATTTAGGTTCTTAGTTAGACTTATTAGGTGATTCGCTACTCCTATTTCTATTAGTATTTCCATTTACGCAGCCGAATGATTTGTTATAGTCAATAAAGCAGAGTAGAATTATTGTATAGTGAAAATTTGGTCTCGCGTTCCTCTTCTTTTCACAAAGCTGGCTTGCTCGGGTGGTATTTGTGAGTCTAGGTAACGCTGAAAGCGGCGGTCGATTATTCTTAAGAGAATTTTGCTGGAGTGCGATATCAAAGAGATTGTTCTATAATTTTCACATTTTTTGATAGAACCTTTCTTATGTAAAGGGATGTCTATCCCGGGTTCCTCCAGTGTCTTTAGAGTTTCGGCATTTATGTGATCTACTCCTGGTGACTTATTTGTCTTCGGATGTTGTATAGCCTCAGCCTTTAATATATTCGCCTCTGTTTCCTCTTCCTCGTATTGTTCTGAATATTATCCTCCTAGATCTCGCTTGTAAAGCAAAGTTCTTCGCAGTACTGTTTCCATCTATTCAGAACTTTTTCTATCTCCCACAATATAATTCCGCTTTAACTCTCTATGGCCAGTGTTGGTATTCTTGTGCTCATCAATCTCTTCCCATATCTTTTTGCACTGTACACTCTTCTACAAACCACCAAACAAAGAGAGAAGGGAGAAGTACTACCACAGGAATTTTGAAAAACCAAATTTGCAACGAATTTTTATTTAGGAATACTTAGAATCCAACTATATCAATTTTTATAATGTTTCAATACAGGGTGTTTGAAATATCGTTTGCGCCCCACTTAAGGCTATACATCGTTGTAAAATCTTTGATTACGGTTTGATTTAGATTTTTTTTGTTGGATAGATCTCTCACCTTATGTTTCTTATTACATCTGTCTGAAGTCATGTCATGTCATGTCAAGTCTAGGACTAATTTTTTATGTCAAATACCGAGAAGGGTTATAGGAATTTCTTAAGAATAAAGTGTCAGGACTACATAAAACCTAACTTTCACTGAAAAACACTAGGGATTTTCCTAAAATTAAATATGATTAGGGAGGATTAGATACGAACTAAATAGACTTTACAACGGTGTATTTTTTTAATTAAAAAGGACTTTTACTTCTTATCTAATAATTATGAAAATAACAGAAATATCAAAATTGATTGGTTGCCACATACTGTTTCTTTTGTACAACCAAGTTTTGCCATGAAGAAGCGAATATTCGACAGTTAAATTAACTCATTTATTAATTCCGTCATTTTAAGATTATACTAAAAAAGAAATGTCCCTAAGAAGTATTTTTATCATTATTTTTGAAATTAGTATAATTAAAATTTGTAAGATCTTAAAATCACATACAAAATAATCGTTATTTACAAAGTTTACAATATTTATCTCCGCTCAAAAAATTATCAAAATTGAGCCATAAACAAACATTCTACATAAGTATTTGAACTTCATGGAAATTAGGATAGTTAGGTTTTATCTAGTCCTGAATAAAAATTCGTTGATAATTTATTCTTAAAGAAATTCCACATAGCCCTTCTTGATATTTGACATCAAAAATTTTTGAGAGATCTATCCAACAAAAAAAAATTATGTACAGCCTTAGGCGGCACGCAAACGAAATTTGAAACACCCTGTATTGAAACATTATAAAAATTGGTATAGTTGGGTTCTAAGTACCCCTGAATAAGAATTCGTTGCCAATTTTTTTTTTAAATCCCTAATAGTACTAGTACTTCAGTTGGCCATAACTTTAAGTTGAAGCAATAAGCCAAACAGGGTTTTAGTGTATATTTCAACAACAAAAAGATCAAAATCGAACAATAAGCGAAGATATTACAAGGGTGTTCAGTTCATAAGTGAGACACACTGTATATACTCTATAATGTATATGTTTAAACCATATAGCTATTGCATAATAGAGGGACCGAAAAGGCAGTAAAATCGATACCTCCCCGTGAAGATCGTTTTTTTCTCCAAAAAAAATCCAAACATCCGCTTGTGCATGTGCACGTCGAAAGCCCATTCCTAACTTTTTTTTTATATTGGTTTCAGGCTACATGGTTTAAACGAACCAAGGACACAATATTTGGATATTTGTATTTGTGAATTTGCTTTAAGTGACTTAAAATCTCTCTATTTATGTTTCGTCCGTACTCTGAACAACTTATTGTATAACACAACGGATATTCCACCAGAGTGGGTGTTGCCATCGGTATGTTCGCTGCTCTGCTTTGGGCTTAATGGTATCACCGCGATCATGCTGCTTCCGATTATCCACTGTCTGGACTCAGGATTGTAGAGTGCCGCTAGATCACTTCTTTCTCCCAACTGTTGAGGCAGGTCCAGATAAGTTTGCACACAAGTTTGCAATTGAATATCCCAGACTTTTATACATTTGTCTTTCGACAAACTGTAGAGCGTTTGACCGTTGTCTTGAAAGACAAGTTGAACGATTCCCATGTGATGACCGTAAAACGTGCAAGTCGGTCGATTAGGAACAAATGCATTCCACAGCCTCACGAGACAATCTGGCCCACCTACGTTTAAAAAATAATGCCTATAAACGAGCTGATGCTTTTCGTTCTTCAACCTGTTGCCACCATATGGGCGTTTTCTTCTAGATCGAAGCACCAAACACCTGCTACAATATCGTAGATGTACTTATTATTGCTGTCGGTCACGTCGGTCATTAGGAGGCCAGCTTTTGAACATTGCGAACAAGATACGACGCTTCGAAGCGTCGGGTAGTATGACACTTGTCTAACAAAATCGGTATGGAGGTCGGGAAATTGAAGAACTCTACATGAATGAAAACAAGAGATTTGTTGAAGAATGGTTAAAGTTATCTGTGGTACTTCTGGTGATATTGCGGAAACCCAAAATTTACGTATTTTATATTTTATGAATTTATTTAGTACCAACTTTAAAAAAGTCTATAAGCCAATGGAACTATTTTAGCTTTACTTTGTGAGTTGAATTTCTTATCGTTTCATTCTTATGGGTAATCAGTTTAGCATATTTTAAAATTAGTATTTTCATGAATCTTGTAATTTCTAAAATAGGTCTTGCCAACTTAAATTTTTTAGTGATTTATCATCTAGTATCAGAAAATGATAGAAAAGCTTACATTGGTGACATACGATACGATATGAGATTCCAATTGCAAGAGTCTAATTTCAAAAACACGTCAGCATGAAACCAGAAATAATGGTTACCTAAAATGATCCACATGTCCTCTCACAACCCTGTCCCATCTTACTTGAAGTAACGGGATGCCAGGTTTGGATATGAAGGGACCTCTGGCAATCGTATCGATGTAAAGAACCTTAACTCCACCTCCCATATCTCCAAGTATGAGTGCAGATTCTTGCTCCGGGTCAGGGTAGAATTTGTAAAACATAGTTGTAACTGCGTAGTCGAGGGTAGTCATCATCACGCGTAATACGAATTTCCTCGCAGAAGTGTCGTAAAATCTAAGATAGAAACTTGAAATTTAAATCTTTTCTCTCAATGGAAGCACATTGTAAAACAGTTTTAAAAAAGACGACCAAAGCAGGTCGTCACTGACTGTACATATTTTGATTAAGCTATCAATGCTCTACTTTTGCTCTACAAAGGGAAAAAACTTGACGAAATAGTGAGCTGAACGTTCTTAAATAATATTACAATAATGGAATCATACTTAAGAAATTGTATACCTAAAAGACTCTATTTATCGAAGCTGGGAAAGGCAAAATATTTAGACGTTATACAGACACACAAAAATTATATATTAATCAAAATTCTCACTCACGTATATGCCTAATTCTTAGCAATTTACTCAAATCACAAGGCATTGCATATTAGCTAATAAAATGCATGATATTTCCATGAACATACAAATATAAATAAAATAAAATAATTAAAATAATATGTATTTATAGCCCAGCAAGGACCTTCATCAGCTGCCTCTCTCTAATATGTATATGCCTAATTCCCAGCAATTTACTCAAATCACTACGGATTGAATATTAACCAACAATACAAATATTATTAAGTCAGGAAGCCTATATACGATATTTTTCACATTTTGCATACAAATTATGACTATGCTGAATTGTTTTAAAGAGGTACCTTAAATCCCTTTCACTTGAAGAAGTACAAATCACGTTAACATCAGGCAAGACAACAAGATCGGTTACCCAAGTCGTTTGAATTTTCAACTCAGGACATGTGGATTGGACAGTCCTTTCCAGGGTCATATCCAGGGTCCAATAGTTTATGAATCCGTCATGGCTGCAGGTTATAATACTTCCGTCATGCCAATTGGTGGATCTGTCTGGTTTAACTAAAAACAAAAAGTTTTTTGTATATGAAAATTTTATTAGGTATTTTGTCGGAAAATCTACATTTTCAAAATATGGTATTTTAAAAAACCAATGTGTTATCATTATTTTATATATTTATTATTATTATTATATTTTACTGAAATTACATCTGACGATTTAAAAATTTTGATATCTGACATTTGTTTTCCCACTTTATCATTCTACGTTTAAATATTATTGTGAGATGTGCACTATTTTTTTGGTAAAGTTTGTGGAAAAAGTTATTTCCAGGTGCTGATCCACATTTCATTAATTTTCAAAATATAAACAAAAAAAATTAAAAATTCCTATATTGCTTTTTTAGTTTCAAAATTCGGTTGCAATAATTCACTCTTTCTATTTCGCGTGCGCGGTTAGGAACTGAATATTCGGTAAACATTTGTTTAAAATCTGGTGAATGCGCCAGGAGAAAAAAAAGTTAAGCATTAAACACATCTATGTACCTGTGGGATAAAAAGTAATCCTATTTATAATTCGTCGGTGATTACTTTTGATCATTGTGGGAGTAATGGGGATTGGCGCTGCCAAGGTTTTATACACTGTGCTTACTTCCTGCTGTTCAAATCCAAGAATCAAATAAGAAATGAACTCGTCCCATATGACGAAACCGTTACTATAAAAGAAAAAACAATTTGTTGAAAATGGCCGAAAAATCCTTATGAAGATTATGGAACAAGGTGTTCCTTTGGAGGCGACATCGGCAGGGGCCATTGTAGTTCTGGCAACTGAATCCTTTTTGTGAAATGTTCAATTTCGCATTTTTGTTTTAAAGGAAGGTGGATTTAGTTATTTCGACAGTGAAACTTTCCACTATTTTAAGAAAATGATGAATTAGAATCACTAGAGTCGACTGAAGAACAACTATAAAATACTTCATTGGATATTTTTTCTAGAAACCAATTAATCTCTTGGCGTTCATAAGATATTCGTAGTTATGTGAGGATGCATTCCACGCTATATTAAAAAGGGATGTGATAAGAAATTATTTTCTACTATTTAAATTCTGAACTGTCATCAAAGAACTATGCATAAAGATTTCGGCATGAGACTGGAGTTGTTTACCAAGAAGCGTTCATTCTCAGAAACTCCCTATCAAACACGTCGTCGGGATATTCAATCCGTGCTACTTTTGACAACACTTCTTTCAGCTGGTCCTTATTCATCCTGTTTCCTTCCGCTGCGGCGAACCACTCGCCGATCTGGATAATCTCGATTTCATCTAATAAATGGTGCAACTCTTTGCTGACGTCCTTTTTCGCTTTCCTCAGTTCACGATAAAATGATAGTCTGTAGTGGCGTTTCGGGCGTTGCTGTTCTGTCATTCTGGATTATTATCGGGCTACACCGGAGTTGTAGCCATAGCAACGCTTCGAGTATGGCTTGCTACAAAGGAGTTTCGAAGCGTTTATCGCTGCCTTTACAAAGTAGAAGTAGGTTTTTAAATGGTGATAGAAGTGATTTTTTGCAAGTATGTCTGGTATACAATCATTTCCAATCTATTAGTAGAAGGAAGGCTTTCGAATTACATAAATTGTTAGCTCTATTCATAACTTAAAATGTTAAGTGTCAGCGAGTATAGTTAACAAAACTTTCTTCACTCCCTTCCGCTAAAATTCTAATGCACCAGACAGCAAAAATATTCATTTTTATTTACTACACTTAACAACAAAACGCAAATTGCTTTTGTTTCTTTGTCTATCTCTTCGACACCTCCATTACCTTGCTAACTCGTATGGTCATTCAGCAGTCTTGAGAAAAACAATCTCGTTATTGAGTGTGGAGAGTATGCCTCTTAGGTAACGCTTACTGTTCAGACGCATGTGCCAATTTGTCAAGAACGTTTGTCACTTTTATTCAAATACGTCATATTAGGTCTCTGACGTATTTTTTCCATGGATATTTAAGAAATATAATAAATAATAATGAAATATAATAACTGAAAAATTATTATAAGAAATTGTTTTTTTTTATTTGATTAAACCAACAATATTTTTAGGTTTCATTTGACACATCGCATCCAAGATGGATCCTATGTACCTTGCGTTGTCTCTTTTCCGACGAAGAAATTATGACAAATGTATAGATGTTTGTACGAGTATATTGGACAAGCAGCCATTGGATCAAGCGGCTTGGTACCTGAAAATGAGAGCTCTTACTCAAAGGGTTTATGTCGATGACCTTGAGAGTGAAGATATAGTTAATGATGATTTTTTGGACGATAACGCGGTCGCTTCGGCACCAAGACCGGGAACATCTTTGAGGACCGCAGCTACGACTATACCCACCACAGCAGGACTGGAGTAAGAGTATCTAATATTCACAGGTTCCAATTTTAATTGATGTTTGTAGTCGAGACATTTTAACATTAAATTAAACAGGTGGCAACATCTTGCTTACTTTAAATGACACTCCCCTGCCTATCATTTCATTTTTCAGTTCTACTTACTATACTTACCATTATCGAAATAAAAAAATAATTTCCTATTACTTATTTTTATTGAGCAATTTAGATCTTTGAAGAAATCTTAATAGTTCCGTGCTTGAATTGCCCAGAGTGTTTTTGGAAGCGCTCATACCAGTTTAGAAAGATTATAAAGGATGTTTCAGAAATAAGTTCGAGATTGATTTTTTTGAATAGCACATCCTGCATATTCTTTGCTGTACAGATTCTAGGAAAGAAACTAACGCAATTTTGTTCAAAGTTTCCCTATTCCTATCTCTTAGTATCCTAGACATAAAAAATAGTTTTCGTGAATTTTACACACTGTTATTTCGAAGAATGTTTCGGATATGGACAGAATGAACTTCGCTCTTTTAAATTCGTTTTTAATTATAATAATCTAATAAAATCTTTTAAATTGTTGGAACCTGTAACTGAGGAATCTTCTGTCTTCATTTATTGATTATTCACTTGATTTTGTTAAGCTCTAAACGCATAATAGAACAAAATAATTACACAAATGAAGTAATTATGAACTTATTTATAATTTATCTTAGCAGAACATAAGGGTTTTTCTATAAATAACATAAATTTTTGAAGAGTTGACATGAATTTTATAAATTTTGGACCTACGTAGAAAGAATTAATGATTTTCCCAAAACCTGCAACCAATCAAAAAAACGAAATTAACATTTAGCTTATTTCGAATCTTATCACAGAGATGATGATGAGAAAACGTTTTAAATTTAAATCAAAAACATTTGCAAAACGAATCGAAGTTTTGCAAACAGTGGAAATGAAGAAATCGTCAGCAATTATTATTATTTACTGTTTACTTCAACGGATCTTTTCAACATCATAAATTTGACCCAATGAAAATAACACTGTTTTAAAAAGAAACGGAAAAAGAAATAGTTATATATTGATATCTGTCTGTCATGTTTTTCATTTGACTGTCTGCGACTAGGTACAAAATTAAAATCAAATACATTCGGCAGAAAAACAATTAATTGGGTTAAATTGTATTTTAACTTTTAAGAATTTTTGGTTGTTTGCTTGTTTAATTTTTAATGTGTAAACAAACGCCACCACTGGAGAATAAGGAAAAAGATTTCTTTAAAATTGTTCGACATATATTTTCTCAAGCGCCCATAGTAATTGACATTTAATAGCTGTGATTCCTGAAGCATAAATATATATAAAACATAATTTTCCTAAATTAAATTATAATCTCGTTACAAATTTAACTGTTTATTGTAAATGGTGGCCAAATTTAACTGGTAAATTATTATTGAAATTAAAAAGAGCTTTTACCGAATATGTCAAGAAGTTAGCGATTTGGGGGTTTAACTGAGTATAATTAAGCATCTCCTTGAAAAATATTACAGGTCGAGGCCTAGAACCGCTACAGGTCGACCTATATCTGGCGTTGTCCGACCAGGAACCCAAAGTAGTCGACCCACTTCAAATTTGGGACGGATACTGACTTCAAGAGCAGGTTCTGTCCAATCAGCACGCGCGATCCGTTTAGGCACCGCCGCCATGCTCACCCAAAAGGACGGTCCTTTCATCCAAATTTCTCGCTTAAATTTGGCAAAATACGCGAAAAATAAGAGTTTAAATAAAGCGTTATTCGAATATTTGTACTACCACGAGGGTGATATCCGCAATGCGAGAGAACTGGCGGTTTTAGCGACGCAAGCTTGCGAATATAAAGACTGGTGGTGGAAAGTACAACTTGCTAAATGCTACGTCGCTATGAATATGATTAGAGATGCCGAACAGCAGATTAGAAGTGCGGTTAGGCAACATCACAATATCGAGAGTTTTATTAGATTGGTCAGAGTGTATTTGAGATTGGGTGAGTTCATCCTTTGCCTTAATATCATATTATGCAACAATTTTGAAAAACGTCACCGTAGTCACGATTTTAATTTGGCATAAGAACGCGGATATTTTAAAGTAGGAAGTAGAAAAAATTTTTATATGATACACCGCAGAACCAGTGTACCCAGAAACACAATGGTGGTGGAAAAAGTATAGATATAACACGTTTGTAAACTTCTTCAAACGCTTCTCTGCGCTCCGCAGGTACTTAAAGAAATGTGGGATAAAATTTCATAGTTCATTTTGTAGACTAAGGTTCTATCAAAACAATATTTGAAAAGTCTAGTTCAATCAAAAAGAAGAAAAGTGCTTTCACCTATTTTAAAGAAACTTCTCATTAGTTCTTATTATTTAATGCTAGTGATCAGGTTCTGATTTGTTTGTAATCATTCGACGATTAGAAGTCCACCAAAGCTGTTTCCGTAATCGGCGAAGAACAAAGATGTTTGGTCATCATTTCAGCTCGAGATATTGCTATAATATTTCAAGTCTTGATCATTTCACAGTTCTACATTAATTTTCGTATCAAAACCCATAATCAGGTCAAATGCTAAGCAAAAATGGTCGACTGAAGCAGGATCCCCACGAATACTGCATTGTTTCAGACCAACCACTGTCCGCCATTGAGATATGCAAATCGGGACTCGAAGTATTCCCCAACGACGTATCAATCACGACGGAAATGGCTCGCCTGTACGAAGTTCTCGGCGATTCCAAGTCTTCCGTGAAATATTATAGAAGCATTGTTATTGAAGACGCTATGAATACCGAAGCCATTGCCTCGATCGGAATGTACCATTTCTATAACAATCAACCAGAGCTGGCTTTGAGATACTACAGGTAAAAGATTCTATTTTTGCGCAATATTTATTCGGGAACGTGGGAGATCTGCATTACTTAAACTTAACGTAACTTTAAACAAAGTAAGTATTAGAGAAACAATCAAAAACGAATTTTCATGTTCGACGTGTTTTTTCACATCAAAAATCACAAAAGCGTATTAGTGTTTTTTTTCAGAATTTGGCCACACTAACCGATTCACAGTCGTTATGTTTTGAAACACCAAAAAAATTACATAAAATATAATTTTCTTACAACCCATTTATAACAAAATCAATTATAAACAGGAGGTATTTAGATATATTACTTTTTGTAGGTTTGATACAAATAGAAAAAAATGCCAATATGCGCTAAATATTGCAATAAAAATATAATATAAAATGTTAGTTTAGTTTTAGTTTTTTTTAGTTAGTTTTAAATGAAACATGAAACTCTCTTGATAAAAATAGAAAAATTCAATAATTGTTTTCGTCGAAACACAAATAACAATTTTTTTGTAAATATCATATCACAAAATTTATAATTAGTGACTTAAAACGGTTAGTTTCAAAGTGCATAAAATTTTTTTACTAAGAAAAACACGTAGACGTTTGACATTGAGGTTTTTTTATAGTTTCAGTTAAACGGTTAAATTAATGTCCCTGCAAACAACAAATGATTTTTTTTTCTTTAAGACGCGTAATGGCAATGGGAGCTTATTCTGCAGAATTGTACAACAACATAGGGTTGTGCTGTCTTTATTCTCAACAATTGGATATTACCTTAGCTTGTTTCCAAAGAGCTCTAGACCTAGCGACGGATCCTACAATCAAAGCTGATGTGTGGTACAACTTGTCTTTTGTGGCAATCGTAAGTACCTTCCGTATTTTGTTGCTAATAAAAAATATTTAAAAAAAAAACCGTTAACAACAAACCTTTTCTAAGTTCAGATTTAAACAGCACGACTTTTATAGCTGAACCCTTGTTTGCCTTTTCTTCTTCCAACAAAGACAAACTACCAGACGTACATTTCCAATAGTCTGCAACTGAAATGGTGCTCATTTAAAATTTAAATGGAACTGGGCTGATGTTTTATGTAAAATATGTCTGCATTCTATCCGTCCATATCATCCATATATTAAAGCTCTTGTCTTTTTTATCTTTGACTGTATCAATTTGTCGAAAGAAATATTTGTGATAATTAGAACTGCTAACAAGCATTTTGTTTGTTGCAGCCAGCTCTAGAAGGAGTTGTAAAATTCGTTTTTATATTAAGTACACATACCCATTACTCTTGTTCCGATTGAAAAATCTTTGAAAATTTTCTCAATCTACTGGGTGAATTTTTTCAAATTTGGTATACGTCCATACTAGAAAATTCTCTGGAATGATTTTGGAAAATACAGCGTTGACAGATATTCAGATGCTGTAAAGTTTTCTTAACATCTATCTACCTACCTTTGCCTCTCACAGTTTACTGAGCCAAAAACTACATTTGTTTTCATGATTAAAAGATGTAAAATCGTTACATGTTATAACGACTAAATATCATTCAATGGGTCTCAAAAATGTGCATATTGTTGAAATTTAGTAGTTAATTAAAAGACTTTTCGAATAGACGCTTTTGTTGCAAAGACGATCTGCCTCTATCACAGTTTCTTTCCCGTTGTTTCTCTGTAGTCGCTTTTAATGTGTAGTGCAAACTCAATTTTACTTCTCAGTTTTGCTTACATTTTTGTTCAATTGCATAATTAGTTCCAATATCATCTACTCTATTAAATATTTTGAGATCAATCTTTGCAATTTGCAGGAAAAATATTTTAATTATTTGGAATGATAATAATTTGTCGTTTTTCTCTTTCAAAGTCAACCGGCGACGTGGCATTGGCTATCCGGTGTTTGAATTTATGTCTGTCGTCGGATTCTACACATGCCTCCGCCTTTAACAATTTGGCAGTCCTGCATCACAAAACAGGTAAAGGACATCTGGCCAAAGCTTATTTAACATCTGCGAAGGAATACCAACCCAACCTGCCGGAGCCCCAAATTAACTTGGACACTTTACAAAGCAATTTCCAATGACTGGACAAGTAATTGTGAAATAAACAATCTAATAACAAAATTTGTTTGTTTAAATATATTGCTTACTTCTCCAAAAGTTTCCTAATCCTTATGTGATTATACCTAATGGTCACTGCGTGGTAGAAAATTAATAATAATTAATAACTAATTGAGATTCTTCGTTTAACGTACGTTTAGAATTTTCTACGACACCAACCTTTAACCTACATATAATTATTAGTACTTTCTTGGCGTTAAAACTCAATAATTTTACTACCTGTCGACCTGCCATTAAATAAGAGAAAAACGTATGATTTCACTTTAATTAGATACACCGTTAATTTAAAAATAAATTGCAGTGATGACACTTCGAAATATATGATCTAATTTACGTGAAAGTTAATTATATCGGTGGACGTATTTAATTTAGCCATCCTCAGTTTACTGCGGAAATGAAAAGTTTATAACGACATCCGATAGATCTACCCATTTCGGTAAGAGTTTTGAAGCCTTGTTTTACTAGGGTGGTCTTTCTGAATTTACAGGCACACAAACGAGAAAAAATTTCATTTAAATTTTTTCCTGCCCTTAATTAGGAAAATTTTTGAAAACAAATGGTACTTTCCCATTGCAACTTTTTTTGCCCAACAAACTGGCCATATTAGGTTTTAAGTGTGACGTTTCAGCTTTCTGTGTCCATCAACTTAACTTTTTTAAATACAGCATTTTTAATTTAATATTTTGAAAGTACTGGACATTCCAAAAAAATACATGTATTTCACTTAATGATTTGCTCAAGAATATAGCCCTAAAATTGACACTAAAGCCAAATTTACACAAAAAGTAAGATGGCTATGAAAGCATTTATTTTATGCTTGACATAGGTGTTAATATTAACTACCTACTTTGTAGTAAGAATTAGTATATTATGCAGTAAGTGTGGTAAACGTCATTTGACTCACGAGTTTACTTGGCACGAGCGGATCGCAGCGGAGCGACTGTTGATGATAATCATTGAGCTTAATAAAAATTTACCAAACCTGTTGCGTACTATACTTTTTCTACGACCGTTAGTTTTTGGGTATATTTTTGAAAAACAACACGAATACATTCACTGACATGACTGTCAGTATTGACAAAAGTCAAAATTGCGACGTGCGGAAAAATCTCCGAAAACATCCGATTGCTCCCGAACCTGTGCGGTAATATAGCGGAAATGTCCGAAGCGGCTCAGATCCATGGGACAAGAAACTCACATGGTAAAGTGACACTTTCCTCACGTTACATCAGGGTATAATTAGGTATTTTACTGAAGGGAGTAAAAAAAGATGTTTTCGATTGTGGAAAAACGCGATATGTTGCGTATTTCATTTCAATCAGAAATTCGAGAATTGGTACCTAAGTCAATATTCCGAGCGAATGCAATCGCATCCTACTTTGTTTGCCAAATTGGATAGAAATTTGTTCTTTTTGCAAGTTGAGTTGAAAATATGATGAATAAAATTTTAAATTTTAGGTTAACAATAATAAAACATTTGCTGATACACTTCTTCAGTCACTTTCCTATTATGGTAATTGTAATCTAACCAAAATGATAATTTGTTTAATTAGTTCCTTCTCCACAATGAGTCAAATTCAATGTTAATTTGTGGTTACTTTAGAACTTTACATTCAAACCTTATATTTGCCGTTAGACGTACTTATAAAAAAAAAACTAAGACAAAAAGCATTAAACATACATTTCCCAAACTCCCAAGAATACGTTTCAAATTTGTAAATGAATTATTGGACCGTGCCTTTCAGAATGAAAGAGAGGAAGTGTGAAACGCGGATCTGCAGGGATTTCCAAAGTTATGGTCAACAAATTTGGAACAATTTGGAAGTTTCGGAGATGCGTCAGGGACATATTTATTAATTAATAATAATAATAATTATTAATTAAATAGAGAAAAAAATCTTTCGCCTCTCACTGCAATAAAAGTTACCGATTTCCGTACATTTTCTAGGTGGGAGCAGTGATAGTATAGTGGACACCACCTCCAGGAACTTATAAAGTTCCCGAGCTCGCCTCAAGTCCTGCGTATATACCATGCTGATCACCTTTGGCGCGCTGCGACCGGATTGGTCGAGGCTCCAGCCGTGGAATGCGGTTCGCCACTCTTTTTTATTACGATAATAAATTCGTTCGGCTGAGATATGATAAGAAATATTTCAGCTCGACAGCGGCCGGGAGCTGAACAATGGTTCGGTTGATGTAACATCGGCATCTAATAGCGATTCTTCTGATGGGAGATTCACGGACTATACTAAAACTTAAACAAAAACGGCGCACTGATGACTGAAAACACGCAAACGGTACCCGGCTCGAGACTAAGTCGATTTTCTCTTAGTGGAATGCCGCATTTCATGAGGAATGTAACCTCATGCCGAGGTACCAAACACACCTGAGTTCAGTACAGTCGACGCAATAAACCAACCATATGTTAACAGCATTCCGAAGGTACCCAAGCCGAGTAAAAATTATGCCTTCGATTGTACTGCTTGGTCGCCCAGTCAAGCAGTGCAGTTGCCGAGGCGCTTGGGTTCTAGTCGTACCAGTCGATTGATTGTGCGTCTGCATTCCAGTGATATTTTGCCTCAGAATGTACCTGACCGCTTCAAAGTTAAAATAGGGAATTTAGTTGAAGAACATCTATGCCGGTTGACGGATCGTAAGGCTTTCGCTTTACAAGACACGTGGATATTTTGTGCCCTTAGAGTGCCAGTGTGGTGGAGTGCATGATTCTTTTGTTTATGTGAAACGCCTTGGTGGATTTTTTTCCATGCTATGGGCGCAAAGTATCCCGACGTTGAGGATTTTAAATTCAACACATGGTAGGTCATCTCAGTTTTGAAGCTTTCTTAGTTACCATCTTACCTTCTTCCTGATATGATTTGATTTATTGCTGAGATTGCTCAAGAAATGTCTTTATTTATATAATACGTGCTGAAAATCACACCGGCCGCAAATCATTTTGTGATACTTTGATTGGTGTAGTTGGTATGAATTTTTGCTAAGATTTAATTTGAGGGAGATAAGACATTGCAAAATTTGTAGTAACTTAATTGTATTGTGGAATAAGCTTTAGCTTTAGACTCTATGTACTGACTCTTGAAGCTCTTAGATTTCCTTGTTAAATATTGTAATTTTCAACACATAATATATAATACATATAATGAGAAATTTGAATACGAATTTACTCTAGAATGCACTGAACTGAAATTGTATTGGAAAAGTCAAATACTACCACTGGACGTAATTTTATTTAGATGCATTGAGTTTGTATTTTTGATTTTCAATGGATAAGATAATACTCGAACGGACAAATCCCAAATTTAGTTGTTATAAACAATGTTAATATTCCTGTTTTATCAAATCTGGAACTGACTGTGTTGCGCTTCAGATTTTATTTATTTATGATTAAGCAGAAGCCCAACTAGCAGATATATTTGAAGCCGACGTTGACACTTATTTTGTGCTGTGGGCGATAGTTCCCAGAACTGAATTTTTTCCTTACCAATAGAAGATTTAAATTAACGTCGGAAATGATGGTAATGAAATTTTGATCTTGTACTTAAATTGTACATTTAGATCATGAAACCCTAATGCTCAATTTAATAAATATGTGTGTCAGGGCTCCTTACCGAGATAAAATTCAATCTCTTTATATTGGAAGTGCATATTAATTATGACTATTGACGTTTATAGGAAATTGATTATGTATTTATATACCGGAATTTATAAAATTAAGCAAACATTAGTCCCTTGCAATTATGGTGTGAATTGGTACATTTCGGACATGGGCAGTTGGATATGGATAGGAAAAGAGGAAAAATCAAAATTATAATGAAATTTTACTATTATATCCGAATTTAAACTTTTTTTTTCATCTGGCAGATTGGAACTGATTCCTAAATTAAAACTGATTATCATGAAACGTCCATAAATTTCGATGCCTTGCTAAAAATATAAAAATGTTAAGTTTAAGCACAAAATGGTGTTATTAATGTTTTGTTCTTAGTCTATGACGCACAATCAAGTATCATTTCTGAAAGTAGAGAGAACATGAACACAAGGAATTTGATTTGGGATACCAAGAATATTCCAATACATTTAGTTGCCAAAAAATGTTTGGATATTTCATGTTGGAAATTTCAATACTTAAAGTAGCTGAAAGCTAAACGAAACAAAATCCTATTAGATATGAGTAACTGCCGTATTATTCGTTGATAACGTTTTTAGGATACTGTAAATTCCAGTACTACAAATAAGGGAACACACTACTAGAGTGCACTGATTAATATACGTTGCAAGTGGAAATCTTATCTTGCCTATCTTGCAAATTTACAAATATGCCCCGCTAAAATTAAATTTTAACTAACCAATACGGATGGGTCTTGAAAATATCCACAGCTATTAAAATTTATTCAAAGCTGTCGGCTACCGGTTTGCAGGACCAGTGTCCTCATCATGACCAAACAGAATCTTGAGGAAGAGAAATTGTGTAGGAGAACGGTTTTAGCCACATCGAAAACTTTCCGTTGGAGACTCGATGGGATATATTAAATTGAAATTTTGAGATTATGGAAAACAAGATATTTACCACTTTTTTGGGTCATTATCACTAATGTTGAGGCGCAGTGATTCTATTTTTCTGAATATCTGCTCGCTATGTTTCGTAGATCACGGACAACGAAAGAAATATTTAATGAGACACAGGACGAAAAACAATTTATTGTAGGCGAAGTATGATAACAAAGCGGCTCATTCATTACAACACCCAGCCGTAACGAATATCGAATATTGTTAAACAACAAGTGACGCAATTGTTTAAATATGCGCGTAAATTGCCAATGAACGTCGTTTTTTTATACAATTTCGTCGACCTTGGCGGGCTTCTTTTAATATTCCATGACATAATGGTGTTAAAATTCGGCACGCCATGATTTACGAACGCGATTAACTCAATTATTATTGTTTGTTGTTTATTTTTGCATCGAAGAGTGGGAATATCAAGGATGCCCGATGTCCCGAAGAATTTTGCAAAACATTGCTAAAAATAGGACGTGTGTTCAATAAACTGTTTAAAATTCGGATTTGTTGACAGTCGAATTACCGAACTCTGGAAGATCTCGTTGGTCGACACTAAAATTTGAAATGCCATGTGTCATTGGTTGAAAACGAGTTGAGAAAGCGCACATTGAATGTTCCAAACATTTTTTATGTTATCAAATTATAAATTATCTTGGTCCTATATATAAGAGTAATTTTTTACCAAATAGAGGACCGAAAAACCAACCTATAAGGGTTTCGAAGTTGAGGCTGAGTTTGTCCAACAGAAATACTTAAGGTAGCTTCTCGGGTAGTTTAATGCTGTAGGAACCAATATCCTATTAGATAAGCTGTAAATTTCAGTTCTATAATTACGAAATATATTTAGGAAATATCAGCGGTCATGTTGCTTTGTAGACCGCCGCAATATCCTATCGGTTCACACCAAAATTTGAAATAACATGTGTGGAAAACGAGTTTTCAAATGGCACGTTGGATCTTCCAAACATTTCTGACGTTACAAAATTAAAAATTATCTTGGTCCTACTAGCCAGAGTAGATATATTTTACAAATATTTTAAGTCCGCTTCCACGAAGTTTTTATCAGACAGGGTTTCAAAGTGACAAAACAATGAAATTTTTTGAAATAGCAACATATAAATCATGAACAAATTATACAGTACAGAGTCGAAAATAGAATTGGGAAGTCTGTATGATGTATGATGATCGCTTCAAGGTTTTCTGCATAAAAGTCAACATAGTTTCTACATAAGATTCTGCTTTTTGAAGAAGCCGTTGTAAATTTATTTCTAAAATGACCACGAAACTTGCTACGAAAACGATACTACTTTACGATAATAAACGAACACAAAATAATTATTTTGTATTAAATTTGATGTCCTTGAAAACTAACTAACTAGCCTTATGTGAAATTTAATTTAAGTACTTGCGGTTTTTAAGAATGCAAAAATTTAATAATTTATACATCAGTAGGATCACAAGAAAAAGTTATATTCGTTACTATTCGGAATTTTTGAAGTAATAAGTATTTCCACCATTTTTTTCGATTTTTTCAATAGGGTCAAATTTGAATTAGTCGTATAAAGCGATATCGGTAAGATAGTTCATGTCGATCAGCGTACCCACTTAAAACAAAAATACATTAACCGAAACAGGCAATACATTCCAAACCGAATTCCGATTCGAACCGTCTTAATTTTTTTCGAGAACGTTGAACCACGAACTGACCCTGTTACGTTTTTTTCTGTTTTCTCGTTGTATAGCTACTTTTATTTGTGCAAGTCAAGGTCTAGAGATTTATCTCGTTATAACTCTGAACCTTGATTACACAATGTTTCCTTCACCCGACTATTTTGATGTCATTGTAGAAAGCAAAGGTTTTTGAAAGCTTTGACGACATTTTACGGTTTGCTTTTATACCTGCTTTGGTTGTCCTCTTAAAGTTGATACGCAGGCAATGCGGGTTTTAACTTTTCGCAGTTCTGGTATTTATATTTTGCAAGGTATCCCACGCTGCCAGGCTTTATTGGCCAAAAGCGTGTTTTCAAATTCTTCGTGTTATAAACTAAGATCTGTCTCTATATTGGTAGTATGAGGTTTGGTATGGTATTCTAGAAACTTCATAAAAACTCTTTAGAGAAATATTCAGTTGCAAATTCTAGTAAAACAATTAAGGATATAAGTGAACAAAATTGGGAGATGCGTTTGCTGAGAAAAATAACCAAACAGATATTTTTCATTTTCCTAAATGTGTTGTTGATTGGTTTTGTAGATGTCATTTATTTTCTCACAAATGTGATTTATTTTTTTCTACTTTTGTTTGTTATTTTGAAAACATGTTGGCACTTGCACCCCTAAATTGCTAAGCAATTGACCGTCAACTTCTTAATTGACTAGTCAAATTCGATCATCAAAATTAAATAACATCTTGCATTTGTAGAGTGCTATCTACCATTATTTAATAATAATAATATGTACACAATCTAAATAAATAAATATAAATTTCTCTGATCAATGGACCAACTGGTCAATCGGCACACAAAAATGTGACCGGTCAAATCCACAACCATGTTATAAAGTAATAAATACTATAACAGTAGAATATTTTGCGAAGAAACTTCCACAGGCTACTGTAATACTCTTTACAAAAGTTCTGGATTCCTCCTGCGTTAATTGTTGTTGAATTGAACTTGCTGACATTTCGTCCATCATACTGTCGGCTTCTTCAGAGCTTAACTGAAACTGGAAACAGTTATAGTTATGTAAAACATTCAAGAATTAAATACACGGTTAAACATGTTGAGAATAAATCGAGCATCACAACCGAATGGCATATACACGACCTTACTAAATTAACATGCTCTGTTAATTTCAACAACAAAATGTATTTGTTCTTTTTATATGGTAACTTTTCTTATGTGGTTTTGTTCACAAAAAAACCTAATTTTAATGGGAGCTCAGGTGGAAACATTGATGTCGCGAAAAATAGAAATAGTAGTCACAATGTCACTCCTAAAACACCACTAGAACAACATCGCCAAAATTTTATATAAATGAATATATAGATATACATATTACTGTGCGACGGCTAAAAAGATAGCTTTTTGTTATTCAAGGCTCGGTTGAGACTTGCGCGGTGTTAATATTGTTAACAAATAGTATCGGTTATCTATTTGGTATGCAACTGAGATAAGCAATTCTGTTACGATAATAGTACACTCAATGGACATATTAGAATGGAAATTGCCCTTCCTAATAATTC